TTAAAGTAAATACTTGATTATATTAAACAAAGCAAATAAATTGTCTTACAAACTTAAAGAAAGTGCTCAAGAACAGTAAAATGACATGACCCCTCGAAAATCTGGAAAAGGGGGTATTTATAGTCTAGAGAAAAAAATCCTAGAGTAATGGCATAAATGTAATTAAAAACAGGTTCGGGCTGGATCAGTATCGGTCAGTTGTGTCGGTCTTCAGTGACCGAAATGGGTCCCTATCGGTCTGGAGTGATCGACACATATGACCGAAATTTATCCGGTGTGTTTGTGTCGATCACACTTGACCGATACTGGTGATTGATATGCTCCGTATCGGTCACCCTTGACCGATACTCTCTGTGCTCTGACCGAAAACTTCTGCAGAGATCTTCTGATGTGATCCTTCTTGCTCCCTTCTGCCCAGCTAGCATCTTGTATCATTCCCAAAACTCCTCCAAACTCATTTAAGCTCCAAAAACACCTAAAAACATCCAAAATGCAAAGAAAATGCAAACTATACTCTAAATGCAACCTAAGTCTAAAAGAAGAAGAAAATGAGACAAAAGCAAAGGGAAAACATGCAAAAGAGGATCAAAATATGTACTAAATACAGCCCTAAATGGTGTAAATACAAGAGATATCAATAAACCACTTCAAACTTTTATACCATACAACACTTATAAAACTCATACATTTTTGTCTTTGTCATTATTTTGCATATCTTTTCCAAATTTTCTATACAATCAACATATTCTCCAACATTTATGAGAAACTTCAAAATTTCAAAAATAAATTATATTTTAAATTTAAAAATTGTAAACTCTAAACATAATTAATCAATATAGATATCCAAAATTCAAATCCACATTTAGAAAATGTTTCAAAAATGTTTAAATCTAATCATTTTTTAAAATATCAAACCCAAAATCCCAAATTTTAAATCTAAAATTTTAAATCTTTAACACTTTACATTCAAAAATAAAAATTAAATCTAAAATTATAAATTAAATATTACAATTTACTAATAAAGTTAATTATAAATGAGATATATTATCAAATGACTTATCTGCATATAATATTTAAGATCATACATATGTTTTAAAACATAAAATTAAACTTGTAAAATGCAAATAAGAAAGGTAATTTCTCATTGGTTAATATATGGTGGTGAGGATTACACCTTACTTTTAATCTCAGTCCTAGATAAAACAAAATCTAACACATACAAATCATTCCTTTTTTTTTTTCTCTTTGCGTCTTTAACCAAAACATTAATCGTGTCTTCTCCATTGTTGTACTCGCATTCTCCGATCCATCTCATACCTATCTTCTCCTTTCTTTGCTTCTTCTTCTCCTTTTCTTCTATTTCTCTTTGTATTCTTCTTCTTCTTTCTCTTGCTCTTCTTATTCCTACTCTTCTTCTTCAGTTTGCCCCCGATGCATCTCCTTAAAACCACCGTCGATCCATCTCATGTGCTTCTTTATCAATGCTTTAAAACCGTTGTCGATTGATTGTAAGTATTTTCTTCTCTTTCTTCTCCCCTTCATCTCCTCCTTTCTCTTCTTCTCCACCTTATTTTCTTCAGATCTAACTCTCTTTTTCTGATTTTGTAGCCCAGCAATGCTCCTCTCTAATGCTCGCTGCTGGTTCCAGATCTCGTCCTCTGGCTGCTCCATCCTTGCCGCACCGTGCTCACCACCATTGACCATTGCCGTCGACAATTTTGCAGATTAGGGCTTGGGTTGGCCTTCGGTTTAGGATTAGCTGCTGGTTCTGTTCTTTGGTTTTCTGGGTTTAAGTTTTGGGTTCTTGAGGCTTAGGCCCACATGTTGTATGGTTTTAAGATTTCCAGTCAAGCCCATTTCGGGATTTTATTGATTAAACCCAGAAAAAAAAATAATGTTAAAAAGGTAAAACAAAAACGAAAAAAACGAAATCAATTTTTATTATATAAAAAATAAATAATTAGCCACGAAAAAAAAACTATGATAATTATGTGACGAAATTAATTGTTTTGTTATTTATTTAAAAACCATTATATTTGCCATGAAATTAGCCATAATTTAATCATGGTTAGTTAGACACGCAGAATTACGTAGCAATTTCGTGACTATTTTTGTCACAAACTTATTAGTAGCTATTTGTAGCTATGTAGCCACGAAAAGTCATGAAATAAATTAATCACGATTATATAAATACAGTTTTTTTACGTGATTTTTCGTGGCTATAAAACCATATAGCCACAATATTTTTACATTAGTCACAAAAGAAACAGTGGCTATAGCCAAAAATTTTACTAATGTTTGTTCGGTATGATTGCAAATATATGTCAACTCTCAGCTAATATATTTAAGTGATATATATAAATGAAAAATCATTAATTAATGCATTTTGAGTAATTATTAACCCACTTTATTTAATGAATTTTATATTTTGGCCGACCTGTGAGCCAACCTGAGAGAGTGTTCTGCTGACTATTCACATCCAAGAGCAACCCCACTTGCAAAACCCCTTCTCATTTTTCTTTTCCTTTTTTTCGTTTGTTCTTTTTGTTTCTTTATAGAGTTTCCTCCACACGACCATTTGCGGTGTGACCTGAAAAAGCTATTGGGATTATATACTGAATGCATTCCCCTGTAGTTTCTTTATAAAGTAAATTCTTTTTATTGTTTGTTTGTTAACTTCCAGTAAATTAAATATTTTGTCAGAATGATCTTTCGCTAAGTATTTTTAGTCCTCCTCCCAACAATCTCCAGTGGTTTGTCCCTTTTTTCATATCCAAGAATTTATGACATGAGTCTCGTGCATGTGATTGCCTTTTTTTCTCGCCAACCTGTTGTTCAAACTCGAGAGCCGCTAAACTTTTTTTACAGGCTTTTCAGGGTTTCCTGAGTAAATAAATATGCAATAAGACAATCTATTATATAAAAACTGGATATACTTCACAAACAAATGACATATCAGCACTCCTTTCCATCCACGACACATAGTTTCTATAAAAAAAACTTCAAAAAAATCAATTAATTAACTTAATTCTATCTATACCTTCGTCTCTTTTATATGCTCTCACTAGGTGATGACCTGTATGTACACGCAAATATATATTTTATTATATATTTTTAAATTGTAATCTATAATATTTTAAAATAAAATATGATTGATAATAATTTATTTTTATGTTTATTGTTTCTTTTACTTTCAAATATTTAAATGTTTTTTTGGTTTTTAAATATTTGTAAAAAAAAGTAGCAAAAATATTTAGTTAAAAAAAAAAGAGTTGGTTCTGAAAGAATCCAAGACGAGCGAAAATAAGAGTGTTTGACTCTAGGAGATTTGGATTACCTGAAAGAAACTGTACTGATGAAAAGAATACAGCTGTCAAAGCGTGATTGGAAAATCCCTTTTTGAGCAAGTATTAGTCATAGCTTTCACCTTCTTGTCTAATTTTCTCCAGCTATGTTTCCTTGCAAATACGATTAGCCATATATGAAAACAGAACCAAAGCAAAATATATCACTTGTAATGGACAAACACAATATGACATTTATACGTATAAGTTCTGTTATTGGTCTGTTTTATTTTATCTTTTTTGTTATTTTAACAATTTTGCTTACAAAAAAATCAATCATTTTACACCCTGAATGAGAACCTTTTGGGATCACCACAAGACTGGAATTACTCTTTGGACCCGTTCTCTTTATTGTCTTCATGTCACTGCAACTTGAATCTGCAAAATCTGGTTCCTCTGTTTATCATCATCTGTCACAACATTTTTACTTGATTCTCTATGGCTCTTAGCTTACTTCCGCGGTAAGTAAGCTGGATAAACGTCGGCAAAACTGTCATGTGAAAAAACAGCAATCCCATATCAACAGATGACTCAAAAAATCATTTTTAAAAAATATATATTTCTTAAAAGAGTTTATTAACTTTTGTTCAGTTTACCTCCATGTATAGTCTTAACTCGCCTGCTGCTTTCTATCACACAATTGGTTGGAGTCACCTCGATCACCTCTGCTGATAATAAGTCATAAGAAAATCTTGATCTTATCTCTTTCGGCTGAATCTTAACCTGATAATTAAATAACAACAATAACAACAACAAAAAGATGCATATATGAGATCTTGAAGTAGACTTGATGATCTTATAGAAGAAATCTGCAGTAACTTAACTTGAAGCTTACCTTGAAATGCTTTACCCTTTCAACTGATAAAAATACTTGCCGTAAACATAGGAGTGTGGTCTGAAGTAATTTTATAATATAAATATTTTTGTATATATTTATAAAATTGAGAAAACAACCTAGCAACAAATCTATATTATGGGGGTTTTGTTAACCATGTAAGAACTGGTTTTGGTATGCATTTGGGTTTTTTTTTTTTTTTTTTTTGCTAAAGTGCACTTGATTCATTTTCCTTTTTTTCTTTCTTTTTCTTTTTCTTTGATTGCAAACATTGACCTTTTTAATAAATTACTAAGCCAATAGTTGACCAAACCGTACCTATAAAAATTTCATATTTCAGTTCTCAATATCAATCTAACCTAACATCAGTTTATATATTACTCTGGTGTTTCATCACTTTAGGTTTTAGATGTCAACAAATAAAGGAAAGTTTTTATATAACAAAATCACATTATATATTATATGTCATTTTTGGTATTTTATTAAACGAATACTGGAAGAAACAACGAAATATCAAAAACAAAGAAACAAAAGAATCAGAACAAGGAACCACTCGCTAACCACTATATATCCGGTTTACCTCAATCACAAACAAACACAAAAATCAATCAAGTGGTTGAAAGTCCAAAGCCTGGGTCTCAACCTTCTCCTCGGCGAAGATCTTTGAGATCCTCTCTGTAGGAACCAATGGCATGTATTATGAGACCTTGTAACCCTTCTCTGTAGCCTTCACTACCGTATAGTTGTACTTCTCATAGCAGAAAGCAAATGTTGGTACAGCAACTTAAGCAAGCTAGTTCAGCTTCTTCCAGGCTGAAACATCACATTGCTCTGATTTTGCTCTTATAGCTTGCGTACAACTCTTTAGCGGCAGGCTCGTACTTGGAGTAAACGGATTTAGCTATCCCGGAGGCTGTTTCCACACTGCCAGCACATCGAGCCAAAAAGGCGAAAGCACAAGCCACAATGGGTGTTAACTATGCAGCTGAGATGGCTTCAGCAGACACTTGTTTGACTATTGGTGGGAAACGGTGGTCAAGCTCGATCACATACATGTCAACCTGTGATAACCAATATGGTTCAATACATATTGCAAGCTCTAATGAACATAATGACATTTACCCGGTTACCAAAACCTTGTACCTATTGATTCATAAGAAATGTTTTTATTGACAGAAGAAACCCTAAAAACACATAATGTATAGTTTAAAATCATCACAAGCGCTAGCTTACATCTATAAATGCAAGATTTGAATCACATAAGTATAAGTGTATATATATTATCGCCATAACTATAGTAGATACCGTTTTCCATGACAAAGTTTTATTAAGCAGATGGGAACCTAGCTCTAATTCGTTATAACAAAAACATTTCCAGCATCAAGAATATAATACAAGCTATTTTTCAACAAAATCAAAATAAAGAGGAATGCCAAAATCACCTTCTGGTCCATGTTTTTGAGGACCTCGAGGACGTCGTGGTATTTCTGGTACACGGGACCGACCACAGTCTTGATAGCTCCTTCAATGGACCAGACTTGTCGTTTGCCTTTACGTAAATGAGAGCAAAGTGCTTCCACAGCAACTTGCACAAATTCCAAGTACTTCAACCTCTCTTTCTCCTTCTTGGTCTGAAAAAGGAATTCAAAATAGGGGAATACGTAATAAGCCAACAACAACAAAATTCACTTTTAATTCATTAATCATGATCTTCTGCACAAGATGAACTATGGTCTGTACAACAATCACTCTTCAATGTAAAATTTCCAAACAACAATTCTATGATGGCGACTTGAATTACAGATTCTTCACTCGTTTTCTATGATATTTGTATTTTGTAAGATCCACCACGAGTAATACCCAAATAATACGATTTGAAGAATTCTTACAAACTTACAAACTCAAATCGCAGGAACTTAAAATAAAAAAAATTGAGACCAAAATCACTAAGAATTCAGATATATAGAGAGATATCTCCCATAATCGATTTGATATATGATTATAACTTATAACGAGAGTCATGTAATTGACTAAGTTTCATTATTAATTTTGCAAAACTAGAAGTTTTCCATATTACTATGTCTGTTTAGAATCCTTATATAAGGATTTGTATTGAGCTTTTTAACGATATTAGAAAACAAGTTTACGGACTCTTCTTCTTCTCTTATCCTTTTTATCAAGTTTCCCTCAACTTCAACAAAGAGTTAAGGTTCTTTGTGATTGAGTACGGGATTCGTGCTTTAGGTACATTGGTTTCAGGTTCTATCAGTTTATTTAGGAATTGCAGGTTTTCCTCTATCACGATTAATGTCAAAAGAGATTCAGACTACGGCGTCTTTACCATATCCAATTTTGGCTGATGGGATCCGTTGGAAAGCTTGTCGCGACCGAGGCCGAGAAGTCCAGCAACGCCGGTGAAAAGTCTTCGGTTGTTCTCGCCGCAGCCGAAATAAACTCCGTCGAAGACGCTGGAGCTTGTTAGGATAAATTTCTCTTCGGCTAGAAATCCAACAGAGATCGATTGATCGCCGTATTGAATACCGTAGACGCAATTAGAAGCTGAACAGCTTCCAGCGTTAAACAACCGATTAGCATAACCGGATCTGATTCAGATAACCAGAGCTGGAAAAATCAAAAGAAAACACGAGAACAAACCTGTAGCAGAAGAGAGAGATCCACACGCCGCTTATGAGCAAGAGACATTGTAGTAAGAAGAAAAGGAAGAAGGGTTAAAGATAGGTTCCTTTTAAGATTAGCAGGTTCGAACACATGGCTCGCACTAAATCCACATCAGATCGCTTCCGATGTCAAAGATCAGAGACATATCGTGTTTTGGTGACCTGATTCCGACTGTCGTTACCTGATCCGAACGTACTTCCATCTTTAGCCGGTAGATCTGTTGACTGGCTTTGCCTGACTCGATCTGTGACTTTCTTCGATAATTTTTGAGTGGATAGAGTTTATGTGCGCTTGGTTGAGTCTGAGGATCTCGACATGGAGTTCTGGAGTTCATGGCTTTCGATTATTTATGTACAAGTTCAATTAAAGAAGTTTTTTTGTTGGGAAGACAAATGTAAGAGGAGACGCTTCGCGAGAAAATATTTTTGTTTGACTGATAGGAGAGATTAATTTTATTTTTACTTTTTTCAATTTTCTTTTTTCTACTGAAGTGTCAAAAAAGAGTGCTGAAATGTCCTGGTCACACTCAACTGAGTCTTTATATAATAAATTGTTTGATATTTCATGACACGTGTATTAAGTTTAGTGGTACATTATATATCTTTCACTAAAAACTAATCATCTTCTTTACGTTATTTTTTCACGCCAGCGAAAGTCAAACATTGTTATTTCCTATGTTCCACTTTTCGAAATGTGCACAATTTAGGATCAATTTTTAGAATTTCTATATATGACCGCACCGCTTCACTTCAAGGGATCTACATTTCACTTTGTAACCTAAAAGTTCATGTGTTAATTGGCAGAAGATTTCACGAGAAAAAGAGGCAGTGCATCGGTCTACATGAAGAAGTTCGAAGACAAGAATTTCGAAAAGAAGCACACCAGTCTGTGCATGCTATCACGAGAAATTAAATCTTTTTATAGTAAAAACGGACTGGCTTTGACATTAAGCATGTGGAGTTCGAAGAGGTTGAAGAATGCTTAGTCGTGGCAAAGGCAATCAAGACGGTGGGATAATCGTCTAGAAAGTCATAAAACCAGTTTCATATGTCCTTAATTCTACCCTCGTAAATTCTTCTTTTTTTGGTGGTGTAACCGTGTAACCACCATAGTTACGGTGGTTTAGCATGTGATTTCGTATGTTACTGGTATTGGCCCCGTGTCTTTACTTTTCCATTTGTTTTACCTTCTGAAGTTTTTGTAATTTAATTCTGGTGTGTTTTTATGGCAGGATTTTTTTATATTTACGATTGGGAAGGGATTAACTTTCATTTTCCTCCCTTATGTACAGTCGTATCAATAATTGTAGAATCTTAAGAGGAAAAGCAGATTGTGTAAACAAAACAAAACGCTTAAAAAATTAATTCTGAGAGATCTGAAAAAATGTTTTTGTTTACTCGAGTTGTATTTTTTTAATACTATTTTTCGTAATACTTAATAAGAGTCTATCAGAAAAATTTAAAGTGTCAATTAAAGCTAAAAACAGTTGTTGAAGATAGATAGTAAGAATTAAGTAAGAGATCTTATAGATTTATATTAACTATTAGTGCAATGAGAGGCTTTCTGAAGGAAACAATGTTTAGTCAATTTGTATATTTATTTTTCAGAAAGCATGAGACTATTGATCTCAGGCAGATAAAGTGAGTAGAGAGTCATGTGTTGGATCTGCGTTTATATATCTCCATGGAATGGATAGGGAGCTGCTTGTAAACATCACTTTTCCACACATCCTTCACTTACAATATTTTTTTTTTGTAGAATCCCATAATTCTCATCTTCCTTTGAATTTGCAACCTTTTTTTGAATCTATTTTGCCCCTGATTCTTTGCCTGCCCAAACGAAAGTACAAACACAGACTTGCTTTTTTTGAATCTATTTGTCATATATACGTGATAGCCTTTATAGAGTTGTTCATGAACATGACAAACTTTTTAGCAACAAATATAACTCTTTTTAGTCTTTATAATAAGAAGTTCAATAAGTTATTTGTTATTTTCTAAAATACATTAAATTATTTTAAAACTTCTTTTATACATTTTCAATAAAAAAACAAATTATTTTTCATATATGTTTTACATATAAAATTCGATTTTAAATAGAGTTTTGTTTAATATTAAAACTCAACACATTTAAACTCTATATGTTGTGGTTTCATTACATATTGATTTACTTTAGTAATAGATTTATTTATACTAATTTTACTTTGAAAATTAGATAAATACATAAAATAAAACATTTAAACTCATCAAACATCTATTAAGAAAAAAATATGTATGTAGACATTAAAAATTTAATATAGATTGATACGTATAAAAAAAGTCCATTGTATGTGGTTATGCAGTGTGTATTGAGAATATTAAATATCTTATTCTTCAAATTTCCAAAGATAAAAAGAAAGGCAGTAAAATTAGAAACAATTTTCAACTAATGAATAAATATATATAATCGGGTGATTTAGGTTAAAGTAAATAGATACAAAGTGCAAAGTTTTTAAAAAAAAAGATGGATCAAGATATATTAATGTTTTCTTAATTCAATTTTTAGAAAATTATGATACAAAATAATTAAGAAAATTGTATAATAAATATATTATTTTGTAAATATAATGGTAAATACTTTTTATAAGAAGAAATTCAATTAACAACTACTATCGGTTTATGACATATAAAATCAAATATAAAATATGAAATCAAATCTAAATACACACGTTAAACCATAAAAAGTATTTGTTTAAAAAATATACACATACCAAACAAAAAAGTTATAAAAAAAATCCGTACGTATACTATATGATAGTTATGAAAGAAAAATAGTTCGTTAACCTTTGTATATTTAACTCTTCTTACTAAAAAACATTAACAAAAAAGTTGAGTAGAAGAATATAATAATAATTAAATTTAATTCTTATATGCGTATTCATATACAAGAATTCACAATGATATATAAATTTCGATAAACACAATTTTGAGGATATATGTAAGTCAATTTCGATAAAAAACAATTTTTTAAGAGTAAGTCATCATGTAACAGACGAGTGTAGCAAATTATTATCAACTTCCATTTAACATAAAATAGTTTTTCATCAACTTTTTCAATTCTCATTACTAATAAATATAAAATTAACACTAAAATTTGTAAAAAGATATACATATTATAATACAGAGTGATCATAAATATTTAATGCAGTTTAAAGCAAATTTGGAGTGTTTAAAAAGATGAAAAAAAACTTTCTTCTTTTTTAAAAATTTTAAGAAAAAAAATTCAAGAAAATATTTAGTATGGTAATTTTAAAAATAAAAATAATAACAACATTTAAAAATATAAATGTAAGAAAACTTAGATTAATTTAAACAGTACTTATGTATTACCTTAGTTAACAATTAAAAAAATCGTTATTATATTTAAAATAAAATATTATATTAATTATCTATCTAAAAATATATCATAAAATGTAAACCTGCGTGTATACGCGACTCATCATCTAATGATATCATTTTAATTATTAGAAAAAAATTGGCTAAAATAATCATAAAACACTTAAGAAAACTACATATGCCATTTTACGGTACTAGTTGGACAAATAAAGTTTCAATTCAAAATAACATTAGCCATGTTTTTGTACAAATGCAGCGTCAGCGTTAGCGTCAAAAAATATAAAGCTCAAAAATTCTAAAATAGACATGTGGCTGATTTGAGGATTTTCGGAAATCCAGAAAGGAAGATGCAGCGATAGAAAACAAAGTTGTTGTTGCCAGCGTCAAGTTTAATAAAGTTGGTTGCCCCTGTTTGCCGCCACTGCGTCTTCAATGTGTCACCGCTGGTGTTAATTCGCTGTATTTTCAATGTATTTTATAACGTTGACGCTGACGCAGCGTTCGTACAAAGAACAAGGCTAAAGAGAAATTCCCATACAGCTAGCGGGGAGGATGGCACTAGAGGCAAAGACCGTCTGGCGAAAACGCCGCAAACGATTATTATATTAGAAACTAAATTATCATCTCTTAAATTAACGAATCTTTGACCACCTCAATCCTGTGATATGACATGTTTTAAAAGTTATAATTAATTAAATTATAAACTTAAGCTTAAATAGTTATTTATTGATAGCTAGCTATATTCTAGTGTTAGTGTTTTACGCTATATATTGTATATACTTTTCTTTAATCTTGCATCATTCTTAGCATTTTAGTTCCACTTGCATCTAGAAGTAGTATTACATACATTTAGCATAAGAATGCATATATGTGCATGTTAATGGTATATTTCAAGTGTATTTAGAAGTTTTGGAGCTTGGAAAAAACATTAAAGCAGCTGACGTCTAAGCATATACCACAAGATGGAGT